GAGCCGCTGCTTCGAGTCATTTTCATCCCATACGGTAGATAGCCCATACGGCGCACGAGAGAAAAGGGGAACGGTTTGTTCGGGTGAAAAGACGTGGTAGGGGGCGCGGAGGGACGCGGTGGGACGAGGCCGCGCTGTGGAGAGATCATCCTAGATTCCGGAAGGGACGGTGGAGAGCGAACGAGACGGCCAAGAACGGAAGCTTTGATGCGAATAACCGACGAGCCCTCTCCGCCAGCCGTGCGAGTAATCGAGCCCTCTTTCCTCGTTGCACCGCGTATCTTTTCTCGTACGTTAGAATTCGACGCGAAGACGCTTCGAAATTAAAAATTTAAGGGAATATATCTCGCTCGAGATTTTATATTAATTTTTTTTTTTTTTTTTAATTATTTCATCATTGGAATAATGAAGATCGAGATAAGATGATGATAATAAGTGAAAATATAATTTTTTTAAAAAGAAGAAAAAAATAATAATAATGTTATTATATGTTTTAATGTCATTTCTTAATTGATTTCATTATATTTAGATAAAATAGAATATGTATAACAGAAAAAGAAAAAGATAATATTATATTTTGTATGAAATTAAAGATTAATGTATCCCATACTTTAAAATAGGATTATATATTTAATTTATATTATTGAACAATTTTGATATATGAATATGCTCGTCTTCCTATTTAATATAAAATAACTCATCGAATATTAAATATAAGTATATTATATTTAATAAATCGATCATCATTTTAAAATTAGTCCACTTTATTCTTGTTATCTTAAACATAATACACGAATTATGTGATAATTAATATAAAAATAAAATTAAGACATCAAATTTATTTTAAAATATTATTGATATTCAATTGTACATTTAAACGTGACAATTTATTAACCATATCTATTCACTAATTTTGATTAAATTTTGATATAACCATTTCTGAATTACCTTTTCTAATAAATAAAAATTCGCAATAAAATAATTACTTTATTTCTTAACTCTCGTCACTATATTCACAATTTTTCACAAATTTCCATTATCAAATAAGATCGGTGGAAAATAACCGATCCGTCCGTGAATTAACAACGAGAATCAATTCGAATAGATCGTTGGAACGTGGACGAAATCGAAGGAAGATTGATAGAAAAAAAACGGGGAAGGGGTTGTGCAGGACACGGATTGTCGTATCGA